CCGTATGCCTGTTAGAGGTGTCACAGAAATGGTCTGGGAAGGTCGACGTTGAGGCCGACGCAGACACTTGACTTCTCTTTTCCTGGAGGAACGTCAGGGCATCAGAGAAAGTCTTCTTGGAATCATCCGGCTGTAAATGCCGGATGGGTTTTCTTGGTTCCGCTTGAGGGAAGCGGAGTCTGTTTGGATCGAACTTGAGGCCCTCCCCCTCCTTCAGCTTTGGGTGAGGGGTAAGGACCCGGTCTTTGATCATCTTCTTCCCAAAGGAAGGCTTCTTGGCCGGATGACTCTTTTTGGGAGTAGCTGACCGAATAAGGTTCTTGATCTCGCCCTTGAAACTATTAATGAAGGTCATGAGTTCGTTCCTGGTGACGGGAGCAGAGCCTTCTGCCGTCCGGGCATCTCCAACCGGGTTGCCGGCTGGGTTGCTTAGAGCAGCTTGGTTATCCCGTTCCTTCTTATCTTTGGAACGGGTGTGTTTTGTTCTGAATGACCCGTCTGGGGCCACATAGGTGTTGACTTCATAGTCGTCACCACTTTCATGGTCCGTCTGGACCTCAGGCTCGACCAACGGCCGCTTGCCCTGATCCGGTGGTACAGGGTTAGAAGTCATCTCAGAAGTACTCTCCCCATAGACGGTGCCAAATGTTTCGGGTTTTTTTTTATGTGTCCTACGGGAGAGTTACAATTCCGAGAATGCCCTTCACCGCTTGTACCTACAAAAACACGAAGTCTCCAGTTGGTTGGAGCTCCGCCTCCGACGATCAAGTCAGTAACGTATAGGAGGAAAAGTGTGCGTTAATAGTGAAATTACTTCTGACGTAATGGGAGAATTCTGCAATTAATGTTGCTCGGGATTGGTGTGTGTATTTATGAATGCCCCATTAATGAGGGTCCTTCCACTATTTATAGTGGGGAGTCTTTGTTCCCCATTTAGGGTTCATTGGACACGTGTCAGTAGGGGATTGGAGCCCTGCTGACCAATGGTTGGGTGCCACGTGTCACTTGGCCATTGGGCCACGTGTCTGGGGTATTTTTTACCCCAAACATGAACCATCATAAAATTCCCTTTTTATATTCCAAACCAAATTAAACATTTTAGTTTAATTAAACATGCTCTCTAACATGACAATAATAAAAGTGTGGTTCATATCCAACATGCCAATATAATTATTCCAATCACCAATTCACCATGAATAATTCATACATCACAAAGCATTCACCAACATCAATCTAATCAACAAATTCCAACCAACACCTATCGTGATACTACTTGGAATTAATTAAACAAAACCTAGCATGCTTCTACATATTCAAGGAATTACTAAGTACGCGAACGTACCTTGAATACGATCTCAAAATAAAATCACCCACTTGGAAATCTCCTACAAACAAAAATTACAAAGAAGTATTAATACCTCCTTCACACAAATTTCCAGCAATATATACTCTCTTTAAATCACTCATAAACCCTCTACAATAATCTGAAATTTAATTAAAAACCCTTACTTTTATTCCCAATTAATGGGTAATTTAAAATCCTTTCAAGAAAATTAGTTAAAGCTTATATATATAAATTCCAACATTATTAAAACATCTTAAATTGCTGTATTTAAGTTTTAAAACACCTATTTCAATAATTTAAATCATCTACAATCAAATCCCATCAAAAAAATCATTAATTTAGAAACCTAGGGTTTTCAATTTGGGGCTTTTTAATTCAAAACCAAAATCTAAAAATTTATATACAAAATACTTATTATTAAACATTATAGAACCATCCCAAAACCCAAAAGCAATAATTAAATTTAGGTAGATTCAATTAAAAATCAAAAAACAACATAATAATTTTTTTTCAAAAAAAGCAGCACCGACACCACAGCCGGCTGCTGCCGCGCCTGCTAGTGGTGCCGCTGCTGTCGCTGGCGCCTGCTGGTGGCTGCAGCGGTGGCCCGACGGCGTGTGGTGGTGTGTGGGTGGTGATAAAAAAATAAATAACATAAATTAAAATTAAGGGGAAGGGGAAAAATTAAGGAGACAAGAAAATAAGAGGAGAGAGAGAGAGAGAGAGTTTACCTTTGGGTGCACTCTACCTTAGGCATATGATGGGTATTTATACCCCCTCTCAATCCCTCCTACTTAAAAATTCCTTTACTACCCTTAGTGATCCTTTTCCTAGTCAAACTTATATTTTGACTTTCCATAAACATAAGTGATCTGACTTTAAAATTTATCTTTTTATAAAATAATATGCCCCAATATTTTTAAATCATGAATCAAAATATTTTCAAGATTATTAAATAATTTAAAAATACTCTTTTAATAAAAATCATTCTTTTTAAATTAACGAAATAATTCATTTCGAATTATTTAAATACTTTTAAGAAAATACTTATTTAAATTAAAATACGTATAAAAATACGGAGTATTACACTTTAGTTTGGAGCATTGAGGACAATGCTCCATTTGAGCTTGGGGGAAGCGTGTCTACGCTTTTTGTATATATGTTCGTGATTTTGCTTTGAATAAGCTTGGGGGTGTTGGTATTTTTGTTTGAGTTTTGGTGATAACTTGGTTATGGTGTTAAGAATTGGCCATTCTTATGCTTTACAATTAGATATACCACCAATTTTCAAATTTTTAGCCTACCTTTACCCTTTTTTTCCATACGTTACAACCCTTCAAAGACCTTTTGACCTTTGTGGTTGAGTCACAAGTCGGTGGAGGGAGATGGGAGTCAAGCTTATGGAGCGGTTTGCATAGTCAAGATATCGAGTAGCCCTAAAATGTCTTCTTTTCTGGTTCCTTAGAGGAATCATTGAGATGCTCACTAGAGGTAGATTTTAAAGTAGTAGGGAGAACGGGGTAAGATCGTTTGGGACGAAAGGTGAAATGAGCTCTATATTTCTCTATGCTTAGCATTTCTTATGTTTCAATCAACCTTGGATATCTTGAAACGTGCACCCCTTTACTTATTTAGAAAGTTTGGCATTCATTTGTGCTTGTTTGTTTGCAAAAGTCCATTCATGAACATTTGTTTTCTTTCCTTTTCTTTTGATTTCCTCTTTATGCTTTGCCTTGTTTTGTTTGGTTTGTGAGAGTTGTGGGTTAAACTCCTAGAAAACCTTCACGAGCCCTCACTCGTCCTCATAGTCGACTTTGGGGTTTTAAGGGCTTGTTGTAACTAAAAATAACCGTGATTCCTACGAAAGTGAGTTAGTGTACATTCTTATCTCTTTTAGTGTGCTAGTATTGATTGAATAAATCTTTCTCCTTTTCTCTTTTGTTTTTGTCTTGCTCGAGGACGAGTATGAGTTAAGCTTGGGGGAATTTGATAAATGTCATTTATGACACATTTTAGGGTGGTTTTCTCCCTTAGTTTTAGGTTTACTTTGGTCTTTCTTGGTTATTTCTAGTACTTTTAGTCTTATTTTAGTTACGTTTGTCTTAGTTTATGTTTTTAGGCCTTAGTTGTGAATAATTCGCTTTTTGCTCGCTTTTTAGCTTGATTTGAGTGCTTTTCTATGTGATCTTTCACCCTTTTCTCTTGGTCTATTTGTCTAGGTACATGGCACTTTCCTTGATGTTGATGACCCAAGAGAAAGCCGGAAAAATTCATAAGAAGAAGCCTTGAAGCCAAAAAGAAGCAAAGAACCAAGCAAGAGCAAGCAACACAAGAACCAAGCAAGCGCCAGCAGCTCTGCCGTGACACAGTCAGCTCCACCGTGACACAGCCAGACTTGCCGTGGCGTGGCAGCCTACCTTAGCCCACCACGGGCGCGACCCAGCCACCGCGGGCGCGGTTTTGCTTCCCGTGGGCGCGGTGTTTCGTTTTTCCAGATTTCACTTCGTTCCTGTAGATGCCCCGGAGATGCCCCACCGCGGGCACGGGAAGGTCGACCGCGGGAGCGCGGTGTTGTGCGCGGGCGCGATGTTCTTGGTTCTCTTCGCGCTTAATCTCTGATTTTTCTCCTTTTTCTTGTACTATAAATAGTGTACGATCCAATTTTCCGGGGGGGGGGGGAATTCTTTAAGACTTCCTTTAAAAGATTTTTACACTTCCTCTCTCCTCTAATGAGGATTAGGCTTAGATTAGGATTTCTCTCTCTAGTTTAGGAGTAGTTTTAGAGAGAGAAAGCTTGGGATTTCAATGGAAATTTGAGAGCTTGAAGAAGCTTTAATGTGGATTCTCTTCTCAATTATTCAATGAGCTTTTCTAACTTTCTCTCACCTTTATTGCCTTCTTTAATTGTTGTTTTTGGCTTATTTCTTTGTTGATTAGAGTCGATAATTAGATTACTTGTTTGATTCTTGCTTTAATTCTTGTTTTACCTTGATTTCCATGTTTTTCTTCATTATGATTGCTTAGATTTTGTTCTAGGGAAATGGATGAAGGTTATGATTAATGAATTGAATGATTGATTGTGATTAGTATGCAATTGATTCTTGATTATTGTGTATGGATGATGCTTACATGGCTTTGATTCTTTTTTTAGCTAATTGATTCTAGGTTTCTAATTGTGCTTTCAATCAATTGTGCGGAAGTGAGTTGATTGATAGTCTAGATCCTTCCATACCTATGCTAGGCTAGTTACACGAAAGTAAGCTTAGTAGGATAATTAACATGCTTAATTGCGCGGGAGTGAGTTGAGTGTGTTCATCGTTCCTAATTGAGATCATGATCATCTAATTGCAATTTATTGTTGAATTCATTAATGTAATTGGATTCCACTTTCCCTAATATTTTGTTAACCGGTTAAAGTAGTGTTTTAGTTGTTCCTCTCTCTACCTCACATCCTTTCTACTAGTTAAATTAGCTCAAATTAATACACTTAGTCCTTGTTGTTCGACTTTAGCTTGCCACTATCTTGTGTAAACTTGGTAGAGTAAGATTTGGAATATAAATTGTTGATTTGATTTAGGATAGTAGACCACACCTTCTTAGAAGCCCAACATTCTGTACGATAGAGCAACACTGGTCTTATGACAGTCTTGTAAAATTATCTCTTCAACTGTAAGGGAATGCTTTGGTCACATGACACTCCCGTGGTCGCTCTCCCTTTAAGCCACCCCGACTTAATCCTGTGGGCCACGTCTTGATCAATGTCACCATTTTTCTGGATGATCGACCCAAGATACTTAAAACATTCACTCATGGTTAATTCCTTTCTATCCAAATTCACTACTTCATCACTTATCCCCCTCTGAGTACCAAAGCGACATACCAAATATTCAATCTTAATCCGACTTAGCTTAAACCCTCTAGATTCCAACCTTTGCCTCCATTGCTCTAACTTGGCATTAACCCCATCATTAGTTTCATCCACCAAAATGATATCATTCGTAAACAACATACACCATGGAACCTCATCTTGAATTGGTCTAGTTACTCCATTTAGAAACGTTGCAAAAAGAAAAGGGCTTAATGCAGACCCTTGATGCAATCCAATGGTAATAGGGAAATCTTTTGTCAACCCTCCTCATGTCCTCACATTTGTTGACACATCCCGATTTATATCCTTAACCAGGTCCACGTACCTTCGTGGGATACCTTTCTTTAACATAGCCCACCGAAGTACCTCTCTTGACACCTTGTCATATGCCTTCTCCAAATCAATAAAGACCATACGAATATCCTTCTTCTTTACCCGATAAAACTCCATCATTTGTCCTACCAAATGGATTACTTCCATAGTAGATCTCCTATGTATAAAACCAAATTGGTTATCCGAAATGCTTGTGTATGCCCTTAACATATGTTCAATCACTCTTTCCCACAACTTCATAGTGTGGCTCATAAGCTTGATCCCTCCATAGTTAGAACAATCTTGAGCGTCTCCTTTGTTTTCATAAATCGGGACCAAGGTGCTCTCCCTCCAATCTTGTGGGATCCTTGTAGCACTCCATATCTTGTTAAAGAGGTCTATTGACCAATCAATACCAATCTCACCTAAACACCTCCACACCTCCATCAGTATACCATCAGGGCCAACTGCCTTCTTAGGCTTCATCTTCTTCAGTGCAATCTCCGCCTCTACTCTTCTTATCCTCTGCACATACTCCATGTTGATTTCTTCATCACTCACAGAGGTATCTCCTGTCACAACTCCATTACTTCCATTAAACAATTCATCGAGTACCCCTTGCACATGTCCTTGATGTCCTCATCTTGTACTAGGATAATTTAGTTCTTATCTTTGACACACTTTACCATGCCAATATCTTTCCTTACCTCTTGTCTTCTCTTTTCCATCTTATAAATAATATTTCCTCCCTCCTTGGAGTCAAGCTTTTCATAAACCTCCTAATAAACCTTTTCTTTTGCTTGTCGAACATCCGCCATTACCTTACTCTTAGCCTCTTTTTACGCTTCAAAGGTTTCGTCACTCCTACATATTCCCAAGGCTTGATAGCATTCCCTTTTTTGCATAATTACTGCTTTCATCTCTTCATTCTACCATGAGGTATCTTTCTGCATCAAAATTCTTCCCCTTGATTCCCCTAAGACCTGATAAGTGTCATTTGTGACATATATTAGGGCGTTTTTCTCCCTTAGTTTTAGGTTTATTTCGGTGTTTCTTTGTTATTCCTATTCGTTTTAGTCTTTTTTTTAGTTATCTCTGTCTTAGTTTATGGTTTTAGGCCTTAGTTGTGAATAATATGCTTTTTGCTCGGATTCTAGCTTCATTTGCATGTTTTTCTATGTGTTCTTTCACTCTTCTCTCTCTTGGTCTATTTATGTAGGTGCTTGACGCTTTCTTTGATGCTTATGAACCGAGAAAAGGCAATAAAGTTCAATAGAAGAAGCTTGAAGCTAAGAAAGAAGCTAAGAAGCTTGAGACAAGAAAGCTTGAAGCTCGTAGAAGGCCTTAAACCGAGTCTTGTTCACTCTTTCAGCCATTACTTTTGATCTACACATTGGATTAAGGCGATTCAAATTGCGTTGGAACTAGACTTGAAGAGCTTTCCAACGGTAGATTGCACACCCCAAGGGCCTTCCTAGAACAGAAGTTATGGCCGTCTGAATCTGCAAGATGCTGCCAAGCTGCGCAGCCTGCGCGCGCGGCCCATGGTGCCGCGGGCATGGCTATTTGTGCCGCGGGCGCGTGTTTCTGGTCTTTTTCGAGCTTAATTTCTAGATTTCTTTCTTTCTCTGCTTGTAGTATAAATAGAAGACTTCTTAGACTTTCGAGGGGGGGGGGAGTTTTACATTTCCTCTCTCCTCTAATTAGGATTAGGGTTAGATTAGGATTTTCTCTCTCTAGTTTAGGAGTAGTTTTAGAGAGAGAAAGCTTGGATTTCAATGGAGATTTGAGAGCTTGAAGAAGCAAATTTTGTGGATTCTCTTCTCATCTATTCAATGAGCTTTTCTAACTTTCTCTCACCATTATTACTTTGCTTAATTCTTGTTATTGCTTATTTCATTGTTGATTAGATTATTTAATTAGTTTACTTGTTTGATTCTTGCTTTAAATTTAGTTTTACCTTGTTTTCCATGTTTTCCTTCATTATGTTTGCTTAGATTTTGTTCTAGGGAAATGGATGAAGGTTATGTTAATGAATTGAGTGATTGGTTGTAATTAGTATGCAATTGATTCTTGATTATTGTTCTTGGATGATGCTTAAATTGACTAGAATCTTTTTAGCTAATTGATTCTTGGTTCTTAATTGTGTTTTCAATCAATTGTGCGGAAGTGAGTTGATTGAGAGTCTAGATTCTTCCTTACCTTTGCTAGGCTAGTTGTGCGGGAGTGAATTAGCTTAGTAGGATAATTAGCATGCTTAATTGCGCGGGAGTGAGTTGAGTGTGTTAATCGCTCCTAATTGAGATCATGATCATCTAATTACGACTTGTTATTGAATCATTAATGTAATTGGATTCCCCTTTCCCTAATATCTTGTTAATTGCCTTAAGTAGTGTTTTAGATGTTTCTTTCCCTATCTCACAACCTTCCTGCTAGTTTAATTACCTCAAATTAATACTCTTAGTCCTTGTGGTTCGACCCTAGCTTGCCACTATCTAGTGTGAACTTGATAGAGTTAGGTTAGGAATATAAATTGAATATTTGATCTAGGATATCTTGAAGCGTGCACTCCTCTATTGTTTAGAAAGACTTGTATTCATTTGTGCTTTTTCATTTGCAAAAGTCCATTCATGAACATTTGTTTTCCTTCTTTTTCTTTTAATTTCCTTTTTATGCTTATCCCTGTTTTGCTTGGTTTTTTTTTCAAGAGTTGTGGGTTAAACTCTTAGGAAACCTTCACGAGAGCACACTCGTTCTCTAGAGCGATCTAGGGGTTTAAAGGGCTTGTCTTTAGTTGCTAAAATTGACCGTGATTCCTACGAAAGTGAGTTAGTGTACATTCTCGTCTCCTTTAGTGTGCTAGTCTTGCTTGAATAAATCCTTATCCTTTTCTCTTTTGGTTTTGTCTTTCTCGAGGACGAGAAAGAGTTAAGCTTAGGGGAATTTGATAAGTGTCATTTATGACACATATTAGGGCGTTTTTCTCCTTTAGTTTTAGGTTTATTTCGGTGTTTCTTTATTATTCCTATTCCTTTTATTCTTGTTTTAGTAATCTCTGTCTTAGTTTATGGTTTTAGGCCTTAGTTGTGAATAATATGCTTTTTGCTCGGATTTTAGCTTGATTTGCATGTTTTTCTATGTGTTCTTTCACTCTTTTCTCTCTTGGTCTATTTATATAGGTGCTTGACGCTTTCTTTGATGCTTATGAACCGAGAAAAGGCAAGAAAGTTCAATAGAAGAAGCTTGAAGCTAAGAAAGAAGCTAAGAAGCTTGAGACAAGAAAGCTTGAAGCTCGTAGAAGGCCTTAAACCGAGTCTTGTTCACTCTTTTAGCCATTACTTTTGATTTACCCATTGGATTATGGCGATTCAAATTTTGTTTGAAACTAGGCTTGAAGAGCTTTCCAACGGTAGGTCGCACACCCCAAGAGCCTTCCTAGAACAGAAGTTATGGCCGTTTGAATATGCAAGATGCTGCCAAGCTGCGCAGCCTCCGCGGGCGCGGCCCAGGGTGCCGCGGGTGCGGGTTTCTGGGTCTTTTTCAAGCTTAATTTCCGGATTTATTTCTTTCTTTTCTTGTAATATAAATAGAGGACTTTTTAGACTTCCAAAGTGGGGCGAGTTTTACATTTCCTCTCTCCTCTAATTAGGATTAGAGTTTTCTCTCTCTAGTTTAGGAGTAATTTAAGAGAGAGAAAGCTTGGATTTCAATGGAGATTTGAGAGCTTGAAGATGCAAATTTTGTGGATTCTCTTCTCATCTATTCAATGAGCTTTTCTAACTTTCTCTCACCTTTATTGCTTTGTTTACTTCTTGTTTTTGCTTATTTCATTGTTGATTACAATAGTTAATTAATTTACTTGTTTGATTCTTGCTTTAATTTTAGTTTTGCCTTATTTTACATGTTTTCCTTCATTATGTTTGCTTAGATTTTGTTCTAGGGAAATGGATGAAGGTTATGTTGATGAATTGAGTGATTGGTTGTAATTAGTATGTAATTGATTCTTGATTATTGTGCTTGGATGATGCTTATATTGACTAGAATCTTTATAGCTAATTGATTCTTGGTTCTTAATTGTGTTTTCAATCAATTGTGCGGAAGTGAGTTGATTGAGAGTCTAGATTCTTCCATACCTTTGCTAGGCTAGTTGCGCGGGAGTGAATTAGTGTAGTAGGATAATTAGCATGCTTAATTGTGCAGGAGTGAGTTGAGTGTGTTAATCGTTCCTAATTGAGATCATGATCATCTAATTACGACTTGTTATTGAATTCATTAATGTAATTGGATTCCCCTTTCCCTAATATCTTGTTAATTGCTTTAAGTAGTGTTTTAGATGTTTCTCTCCCTATCTCACAACCTTCCTACTAGTTTAATTACCACAAATTAATACACTTAGTCTTTGTGGTTCGACCCTAGCTTGCCACTGTCTAGTGTGAACTTGATAGAGTTAGGTTAGGAATATAAATTGTAAATTTGATCTAGGATATCTTGAAGCGTGCACTCCTCTACTGTTTAGAAAGACTTGTATTCATTTGTGCTTGTTCATTTGCAAAAGTCCATTCATGAACATTTGTTTTCCTTCCTTTTCTTTTGATTTCCTTTTTATGTTTTACCTTGTTTTGCTTGGTTTTTTTTTTCTAGAGTTGTGGGTTAAACTCTTAAGAAACCTTCACGAGAGCACACTCGTTCTCTAGAGCGATCTAGGGGTTTATAAGGCTTGTCTTTAGCTACTAAAATTGACCGTGATTCCTAAGAAAGTGATTTAGTGTACATTCTCGTCTCCTTTAGTGTGCTTGTCTTGCTTGAATAAATCCTTATTCTTTTCTCTTTTGGTTTTGTCTTCCTCGAGGACGAGAAAGAGTTAAGCTTGGGGGATTTGATAAGTGTCATTTATGACACATATTAGGGCATTTTTCTCCCTTAGTTTTAGGTTTATTTCGGTGTTTCTTTGTTATTTCTATTCCTTTTAGTCTTGTTTTAGTTATCTCTGTCTTAGTTTATGGTTTTAGGCCTTAGTTGTGAATAATATGCTTTTTGCTCGGATTCTAGCTTGATTTGCATGTTTTTCTATGTTTTCTTTCACTCTTTTTTCTCTTGGTCTATTTATGTAGGTGCTTGACGCTTTCTTCGAAGCTTAGTAACCGAAATAAGGCAAGAAAGTTAAATAGAAGAAGCTTGAAGCTAAGAAAGAAGCTAAAAAGCTTGAGACAAGAAAGCTTGAAGCTCGTAGAAGGCCTTAAACCTAGTCTTGTTCACTCTTTTAGCCATTACTTTTGATCTACACATTGGATTGAGGTGATTCAAATTGCGTTGGAAACTAGACTTTAAGAGCTTTCCAACGGTAGGTTGCACACCCCAAGATCCTTCTTAGAACAGAAGTTCTAACCGTTTGAATCTGCATGACGCTGCCAAGTTACGCAGCCTCCGTGGGCGCGGCCCATGGTGCCGCTGGCGTGGCTATTTGTGCCGCGGGTGCCCCTATTTTTGCTGCGGGCATTGGTTTGTGGGTCTTTTTCGAGCTTAATTTCCGGATTTCTTTC